AAATACAAAAAATATACTGAGATACAAACATAATAATATAAAATTAAAATTAACAGTATAAAATAAGTAAATAAAGAATATAGGAGGAGAAAAGAGAAGGAAGAAGAAGTTGCCCTGGCCAGATCATATATTTTAATAATTAAAATGATGTTTAAATAAAAAGGTCTTTACCTGGCGCCGAAAAACCAGTAATGACGGTGCCAGGCGGACCTCTTTGGGGAGTGAATTCCATAGGTTGGGCGCCATCGCAGAGAAAGCCCTCCTCTGAGTACTTACCCTCCTAATTTCATTCACGGAGGGTTCCCGGAGAAGGGCCTCTCCCGCAGAACTCAAGGGGCGGTCGGGCATATATGGATGTAAGCGCTCCTTCAGGTAACCAGGTCCCAAGCCGTTTAGGGCTTTATAGGTTATAACCAACACCTTGAATTGGGCCCGGGCTTCAATGTGAAGCTGACGGAGGACTGGAGTCATGTGAGCATAACGCCCCGTCCCCGTCAGCAACCTGGCAGCTCTGTGAGCCGGGGGTCAGACTAGATGGCCCAGGAGGCCCCTTCTGACTCGCTCGGTTTCTATGTTTCTAGGAAGACTTTTCAATCTTTCTAACATTGATTAGTGGCCCAGAAACTCCATGCTGCCCATTACCTTTCAAGCATCCTTCTTCATCCCCTTTGTCCAAGAGCAGGTGGGGTGGTGACTCAGGAAAGAATGGCAGAGTGAGCAGCTGGACCAGTGCAGCAAGGCCACTGAACGCCATCAGCAGTGGCCACAGGGCGGCATTTCCCAGGAACTCTCTGCGAAAGCAAATCAGAACACAGGCAAGCCTTCAGGATGCTTGTGGGTGGCTCCAGACCAGATGTGCTGGGCTGCTCAGAAACAGGGGTGCATGATACATGTCCGGCCCTCCACTGCAGAGGAAAAAAGGTCGTGTCCCACACCTGCGTGGCACCCTGCTCAGTTACATGAACGTCGCTAACTGGCCCCCTCTGGGTCTCCTCCTCCCAAGGCTGGAAAGACCGAGCTCCCTCAGTCATTCCTCATATGGCTTCCCCTGCAAACCAGCCACCATCCCAGTGGCCCTTCGCTGCACTGATTCCAGCCTTGCTATATCCCTCTTGTAATGAGGGGCCCAGAACTGAACACAATACCGCAGGTGCGGGTGCACCAGAGTCGTATACAGTGGCAGTAATTCTCTCAATCTAGAAGCCACGCTTCTGGCTATGCAACCAAGGGTGGCATTTGCCCCCTTGTCCACCACGTCACACTGCTGACTAATGTTTAGCCTGCATTCGACCAGTATCCTGAGGTCCTTTTCCCAAGTGCTGCTCTCCATAACCTGTACTTATGACACCCATTCCTATGCCCCAAGTGCAAGACCTTGTACTTACCCACATTGAACACCATCCTGTTGTCTCCTGCCCACTCCCATAGTCTGTCCAGATCCTTTTGGATTTGGAGTACCTGCTCCTCAGTAGTGGCCACTGCCCCCATTTTAGTATCACCTGCCAATTTGATCAGCAGACTGGTCACCCCTTCTTCCATGTCATTGATGAAAAGACTAAACAGGATCGGCCCCAGGACAGAGCCCTGGGGGACCCCGCTTGTCACTGGCCGCCATCCCGATGATTCCCCGCTAATGGTTATCCTCTGTTTTCGGTCAGTCAACCAAGCCCTAATCCATCGGACAGTGTCTTGGTGTATCCCCAAACTCCTCAGTTTCTCCACCAGGATATCATGGGGCACTTATGTCAAAGGCCTTGCTGAAATCCAGGTATACCACATCCACTGCATCCCCTCCCTCTGGCCACCTTGCATCCTTGATAAAATTCCACAAGGTTCATCTGGCAGGACCTGTTTTTGTGAAAACCATGTTGCATGGCCGCCAGCCTCCCTTCCCTATCTAGCATCATTAGATCTCTCGCTATTATGAGCCTTTCCCATGGATATAAGGCTAACTGGCCTGTAATTCCCCATGTCCCCTCTATTACACTTTTTGAAAACTGAGACCACTGATGCCACCCTCCAGACCTCTTGAACCTCCACGAGTCCTCAAAACTGGAGGCCAGCGGGCATGAGAGAACCCCTGCCAACTCTCTAAGTACTCTCGGGTGTAACCCGTCAGGGCCTGGCGCCTTTGTGATGTCCAATGCCCTGAGGAGCTCCTTGACTTCTTGGGGGATGAATCTAATCTGTGCCCCTAAGTCCCCGGCCTCATCTAATCTCCTATGCGGATCTCCCCCGTCCTGCTTTGGGGAGAACAGAGGCAAAGTAGTCATTTAGCATCTGTGCCTGTTCCCACTGGATCTCCTTCCTCCTTATTTAGTGGTCCCGCTGCCTGTGTCCCCTTCCTCTTGCTATTCACCTCTTTTTGCATGGTGATGCTCTCATTTGCCCCCATGTGCACAGACAGGCAAGGCCACCTTAATCTTCGGGTCCTTAAGGCTCTTGTCCAGAGCCTTGAAGCCCCAAGTGATCTCACCCATCTCTTGCCTGGCTGCATCATTTGTCCCCGCATGGATCTCCAGAAGTGACTGATGACTCCTCGAGGGAAGAAGATGCTCCAATCTGTCCCTCGCATGCCGGATGCATGTGCCTGGCAGACAGCAGGCCTCCCTCGCCCCTAGATCCGGCTGGCACAATGCCACCTTGGTACCCATGTCTGACCTCAGGCCAGGCTTCCTAAGCAGGCTGGTCCCCCAGGGGACCTGCAGGTCCAGTTTGCTCAAGCAGAGCAAACCCATTTCTCAGCTTCAAATAAACACCTGGAGATGGAGGACATGGTGTCAGCCTCCACCTCCTCAGGGTGACAGGCCTGCATGCCTCTCCAGATGATTCCTTGGTGTCCCTCTTTGTTCTGTCTGGAAGGGGGCTGCTGCTGGTTGGTCTGGAGGTGATGGCATCCTCCAGTCCCTTTCCCTTTTCCTCAAGGAAGGACACCAGCTTGCACTCCGCGCAAATGTATCCTGGCTCCTCCTGGGAGAGGAAGACAAACATTGCACAGGAGCTGCAGGCAACCATCACACCCTGACCATCTCCTGGCCTGGCATAGGCTACCCTTCAGAGAGTCTTCTTTCTGCTTGCCCTCTGCAGCCTTGGCTCCCCTGCTCTATGCTACCCCTGCATGAGGCAGAGAACCATGATCCCTGAAGACAAAGTCCCTGGGGAAGAGAGTCCCTGGGCAACCCAGGCTGCAACTAGGGATGCAAGCAAGGGACAACCCCCTTGTCACATTGCTCATTGGCACCGCATCCATTGGCACCACCTACAGCTGAGGACAGCTTTATAAGCCTCCGAGGGTGCTGCCCCCGCCCCCTCTGCTTCCTCCTGGGCCTCTTTGGCCTCTCTGGCCCCACCTCCCTTCCTCTCCACTGCTCCCCCCCCCCAATCCTCTGCCCAAGTTCCTAACTTCCCTGTGCAAGTCCCCTGGCCACTGTCTCTGCACTCCCCTGGCCGCCGCTGCTGCTGCCGCTGCTGCCACTGCCGAGATCCAAAATTGGCAAACGCTGCCCTCGGATGTACTCATGCATAGCTTGTCTGTGCTACGGCTCCTCCCCAGAATCCAGTCCCCGTCAGGCCGCTGGACTTTTTCTCATGCTTAGCCCTCGCTTAGGAAATGAACTGAGCTGAACTTAGTGGAAATCAGTGCTTGTAGATGTCTGGCTGCATAACCAGCAACCTTCTGCTGCAGCATGAGCAGCACACAAGTAGCTTCAAGCCACATACACTGAAGAGGTACAATGCTCACACAGTTTCTGCATGGGTTCACTTCCTGGCGGGTGCCCATATGAACACCTGGTGTGCTTGCCAGGGAGTTGGAGTCAAGACCACAAGAAAGCTGGCCAGAGGCTGGGGAGCAGAGCCTAGGAAATCTGATGGATTCCACCCACCAAAATAGATTCCTCACACATCCCTGCTGTACCCTGGCTTGTCATGTTGTTTGAACTAAGGATCATGATTTCCATATTTCTGATATGTAATTACCACAGATTTCTCTCAGAAGAGTGCCAATTACCACTCCAAGCTTATAGCTTCTATGTGTGGACCAATGAGAAAGATGTAGGCAGAGAGTGATGCAACTTGGGATTGAATATCAGGCACAGTGGCTGATGGGATATGTGCCAAATATGGAAGGATGGGTTGGGTAAGATGGAAATCGCAATAAAGTAGAAACTATTTGATTGTCAGATAAAAAGGTAAAGGTTTCCCCTTGACGTGAAGTCCAGCCATGCCTGACTCTAGGGGCCAGTGCTCATCTCCGTTTCCTGGCTGAGGGAGCCAGCATTTGTCCGCAGACAGTCTCCATGGTCATGTGGCCGGCGTGACTAAACACCGAAGTGCATGGAACACTGTTACCTGCCCACCGAAGTGGTACCTTTTTACCTACTTGCATTTGCATGCTTTCGAACTGCAAGGTTGGCAGGAGCTGGGACGGAGCAACGGGAACTCACCCCGTTGTGCAGATTTGAACCGGCGACCTTTCAATCACCCAGACCAGCAGCACAGCGGTTTAAACCACTGCGCCACCTGCAGTCCCCTGCAGTCAGATAGATCATGGTAAAAAAAAAAAAGAGCCATGATAACTATAAGGGTTGCTTGTTGTGTTGTGTGGACATAGCCAATGAGAATGAAAAACAAGATCCACACATCACGAGATGCCCACAGTTCTGTCCAGGTCAATAAGGCAACAAAAAATGAACACGTTCAGCTGGGCTGAAAACAGACCCACTTAAGGGGGTGCTTCATTGCTAAGCAAACAAAAAATGTAGAAAATTCAAGTTATCAAGAAGCACATATATTCAGAACTAGCCAACCTAATTCCATACCATGCTTAATCCCATGATGATGGTCTGATCACCAGACCTTAGCCTGGGGAGTGGTTAGTCCCTGGAGCCAGAGAGTGTAGATATTGTTACTGGAACAGTACAAATTTCTGGGGAAAGGGACTGCAGACCTGCCAAAAAGTGCCGCAGCACCGACCACCCACAGGTGGAAATGGTGGCTTGCTGGCCAAGGCTGCAGTCAGTTACATAATCAATGGCCAGCATTCCATTATGGCCCCTGGTCAACAATGCATGACCTTGAGGAAGGGTGGTGCTATCCAGCTGGGCCCACTGGCAGAAGCCATCGTACAAGTCTGCCCACAGAAAAAGTCTTCCAAAGTGGAGCTGGGTAGAAGGGAATGCAGAGGGTTAATAGACTGTGCCCCTGAAGCCATAGTACAACTACTAAGGGAAAATTTTCAGAAGTCCTACGGCACCCAGAACAACCTTGATGGCCACCATCAATGCAAAAAATTAAAATTAAAATGTAAATATGGTTCCACCTTTGTCCCAAAACTTGGCCTAGGACTTTGCCCAGGCTCAAAAAGAGAGAGGCTGTTGAACTCGCAAATCCACGGAGCTTCTTGGGGGAAACTTCTGCAAGATACTGAGGATGAAGAGGGATACACATGCCTGAAATGGAAGGAAGATTAAATGACTGTTAGAATCACCCAAAGGCAAACTGCTTTAATAAGAAATACAGCTACCAAATCACATGAGGTACTGGTTCCCCTCCATTCTGCACTACTTAGGTCTGAACTTGAATATTACATCCAGCTCTGGCCACCACATTTAAGGCGATGCAAGCAAACTGGAAGAGCTGGACATATTCTCTTTAAGAAGAGAAGACTGAGGGGAGATAGGATAGCACTTTTCAAAAACATGAAAGCCTATCAAAGAGGAAGGATCTTCTTGCTCATCCCTGAGTGCAGGACATGGTGCCAGATAGCCATACAGACCTGCACTCTGGCCTGCTGGTGATGTTACTGAATGCCACGTTGGTTCAAAATAAGACTTCCCTCATTCATGGTGTGATTTTGGCTGAGGGTGCTGACATGGCATGCATTACCAACACCTGGGTAAGAGAAGGTGGAAGCTCTCTCTCACAGCTATGCTCACCTGGGCACTCAGTACAGCACCAACATCAGCCGGAGGACTGGAGTGGGGGATTGTCTATAGTGTGTAAGGATTCATTCTCACTCTCCAGGCTCTCTATCTCCTTTGGGTCAAGTCTGAGTGTGTATAGCTGATGTTGAGCAGCCAAGAGAGTCTGCTGGTGTACCACCCACCCTTCCCTGTAGCAGCAGTCTCCCTGCCTGAGCTGTTAGATGCAGTCTTTCGGGGTTGAGAACTCCGAGAATGTTGCTTCTGCGAAGCCTCAATCTCCACACTGAGGCAACCTTAGACTTCATGAAGCTGTCTCAACACATCATCAGCCCAATACATGCAAAAGGTCATACACTTGACCTGGTTTTCTCAACAGGGCAGGGGGATGGTGGTTCAGATGTGGTGGATATGATATGCCATGGACCTATCATTTCCTGGTGAGGTTTAGACTATTAGATTAGTCTGCCCCCAGAAATGGACAGTTCCAGTGGGTTTCCAGAAAGCTCTCAAGGACTACTCAGTGGATATGGTGGGTGCTCCTATCAATGCCCGAGTTGCCCTGTGGAACAGGGAAATGGCATGGGCAGTTGACGCGATCTTGCCAAAGCGCCCTCTCTATTCTGAGAGAGCATGATTAGCTCCATGGTATACACCAGAACTGAGGGCGATGAAGCAAGAAGGGAGACAGCTGGAGGGTATGTGGAGAAAACCTTAAGACAAGTCCAACTGAACCTGACTTAGGGCTCATTACTGAGCTTATTTCATGGCAATAAAGTTGGCAAAACACCAGTGTTTTGCCACTTGTATTGCTTCCTCACCATGTCATCCAGCTGAGATCTGGTAACCCTAGATAGGGAAGGGAGGCTGGCTGCCATGCAACAAAAACAGGTCCTGCCGGACAAACCTTGTGGAATTCTATGACAAGGTTTTGAGATCACTAGATGGAGGGGATGCAGTGGATGTGGTTTACCTGGATTTCAGCAAGGCCTTTGACAAAGTGCCCCATGATATCCTGGTGGAGAAACTGAGGAGTTTGGGGATACACCAAAGCACTGTCCGGTGGATTAGGGCATGGTTGACTGACCGAAAGCAGAAGGTAACCATTAGCGGGTAATCATCGGGATGGCGGCCAGTGACAAGCGGGGTCCCCCAGGGCTCTGTCCTGGGGCCGATCCCGTTTAATCTTTTCATCAACGACATGGAAGAAGGGGTGAACAGTCTGCTGATCAAATTCGCAGACGACACTAAAACTGGAGCAGTGGCCACAACTGAGGAGCAGGTACTCCAGATCCAAAAGGATCTGGACAGACTATGGGAGTGGGCAGGAGACAACAGGATGGTGTTCAATGTGGGTAAGTACAAGGTCTTGCACTTGGGGCATAGGAATAGGTGTCATAAGTAGAGGTTAGGTGACAAGTGGCTGGAGAGCAGCACTTGTGAAAGGGACCTCGGGGTGCTGGTTGACTGCAGGCAAAACATGAGTCAGCAGTGTGATGTGGTGGTCAAGAGGACGAACGCCACCCTTGGTTACATAGCCAGAAGGGTGGCTTCTAGATCTAGAGAGGTATTACTACCACTCTACACGACTCTGGTGTGCCCACAATTGGAGTACTGTGTTCAGTTTTGGGCCCCTCATTACAGAAAGTAGATAGCCAGGTTGGAGTCAGTGCAGTGCAGGGCCACAAGGTTGGTGGCCGGTTTGCAGGGGATGCCGTATGAGGCGAGACTGAGGGAACTGGGTCTCTTCAGCCTGGAGAAGAGGAGACTCAGAGGGGATCT